ATCCAATGGAAAAAGCAAAAAAATATTTTTTTTAATATTTTAGTGATAAAATTTTACTTTATGATCATAAGTATAAGGGTATTAGTAAACAAGTAAAACAACAAACCAACAATTAAGGAAGTACAATTAATAACTTTAACACACACTTAATTTAGACTAAAAAGGAAGAAAACAATTAGGTACTAACTATAAGTAAATAAATAAATTTTAAACATGGTTACTGTTGTAGGAAGCAACACTCCTAAGGAGATTTTTTTGATAGTTTTTTGTGATCTCGGATTTAAATTAAAGTTTTTGAGAACAACTTAAAAGAATGATGCACCTGCTCTGAGGCTTGCTCAGAGTAAAAGCCCAATGCTTTCTGTGAAATACTAAGAAAATCCACTATATGGTGAACAACAGCGTGAATTTTTGGAGTAAAACTGATTTTCGTATCTTTTATTTTGTCGAAAAATTTCTGTATATAGACTTCGTAATTGGTATCAATATATTTTCCAAAACAGCTGGCTACCACATTATTGAAGGCACAAAATACCTCTATGTATTTGTTGTCTAAAAAAATAAGCAAAGGGCTTAGTATCCAAATAACAATAATAAAATAAAGTTTTGATACAAAGTAAGTTAATTAGAGTCATACCAGGATCTAGTGCTTTAAGGACGTCAACTTTTTAAGCAAGTTTCTGACATTATTTCCATTAAATTTGCTGTAATGGTCTAATTGTATCCCAGAACTTTTTAGCCAGCTTTCAGCAATATCCGGAAAGTCCTTTTTTAGAGAATCGTATATTTTTTGTACAACTCCCATCAACAAAATGTAACTCCGGCGGTGGAATATAGTTGATAATTGGAAGATCGTCATCACCAGTTATTAAAGGAATGTTGACGCAATTCTCTAAAAATTTTAATTAAAATTTACAAAAAATAAAAAAATAACTATTAAAAAAGTCAATAAATTAAACTTAGCAGTACACTTACTGTACTTTTTTGTTTCCTTTAAATTTCCACCTGTCTCCTCGTTCCATAAGGTACGCCATTTGGAAATATCTTTTATGGATCTTAGTTCTCCTCTTGACTGTAAATTTTTTGAGTTAACATCATACCAGGCACATGGATGGCATGATGTTGAACATTGAAGGCCCAATATAATCATTATCAACTTTAGATCTGCGGCAAATGTGTGCGGCCCCGTGACAATCCGAAGACTGTTTTTACTTAAATCAAGGAAAACCTTTGATTTTTCTCGGTCGTAAGTTCTGAGGAACTTTTTCGAGTGCAAAAAAATGTCTATACCTATGTGGCGGATTCATCTATCCAAAAAAATCCTTTATGGGTTTTTCGCCACTGCACTGCAAGAAAAATCTACAAAATAAAATAGTTATTTTTGGTAAACACTTCTGCGTTAAACCTGAACGGACGCTGCTTGTCAGAAGTTGTGTTTACAGTTATAAAAATTTGCCTAACAAAGAAAAAAATGCTTAACGTTTCGGAAAGTTTTCTCTTTCCGTCGTCGGAAGCAAAAAAATATAAAGAATCAAGAAAAAAACTATTTAAAATATTTAAATTGAACTATTCGAGAACACTTTACTTTTTAAAACCGATACGTCTACAAGAAATCGTTGACGTTCTGTTAAAATGACATTATATTATTATTATTCTTTTATTTTGTAGATTTTTCTTGCAGTGCAGTGGCGAAAAACCCATAAAGGATTTTTTTTCGGGTGTCTTAGACCGTTGGAGGACACCCATTCCAAGTTACGGATGGAGTCTTCCAGATTCTTCAGTTTCGCTTTCAATTGGTTCCCGTTTGGAAAACAAAACGGTTCTGGTCCAGTTAGTGGAGTGTTCGCTTCTTTCCTAGCTAGATCATTTATTTGCTTTTTCATTACCTTTTATCCCTTGGTGAACAGGCACCCAGAGTAGGAGGACTTTATTTTCTTTGCCTAATTTGTTGAGCTTCTCTAGGCATTCTTTGACCAACTTTGAATTGATGGTTACTAAGTTGATCGCGTTAAGTGCTGCTTGGCTACCTGCGCCGACAACGACAGTACTGGCGTTGGCTGGTGTCATGCCTATTGTACACCAGGTAGAGGAAAGATGCGACACCTACAGGCTGGGCAAGGAACATAGGTTGCAAGTAAGAGAAAACATCGTGATGAAATGGCAGGAGGATTGGCAGAGATATGATGGCTGGGCAAAGCAATTTATTGAAAATGTGGCGAAGTGGCACAAGAATGGATGGGTGGAGGTAGATCACTTTCTTACTAAAGCTATCACAGGTCATGGGTGTTTTGGCACATACCTGAAAAGGATGGGCAAAAGAGATAGCGACCGCTGTGTGTACTGCCAGGAGCAGGATACTCCTGCGCACACTCTATTCGAGTGTGGAAGATGGAGGAAGTTTAGGGACGTGGCAGAGGCAAGGTGCGGCACCAAGGTCACGCTGGAAAACGTCGGGGCACTTATGGGTGAAGACCAAGAGAAGAGCATAGCGGTTGCGGAAATGCTGAGGGTTATTATGAAAACCACATTTCAGGAAGAGTTGGCGCAAGGATTAATACATAGGGTGCACACATAAGACAACCCTCTGTCTTTAAGTAATGCCCCGGGCGGTTCCGAGACGGAGACTGAGGTTTGACAAAGACGGGTTTTTAGTGTGTAGGCCCTCTAGGTAGAGTAGAGAGGGAGATCCCCATTATACTCAGTTAATTTCTCGGTGTAGAGTTGCCATTCGCCGCTGGGTTTGGCTCTGTTGAAGAGTCGTTGGACCTCCGATCTAAGATTGGCCAGCTTTTTGTTCCACCAGGGCTTGTACTTTTTTGTATGCCCTTACTTGTGGGGCAACTAGATTCATATGCATCCAATATTGCGCCACTGACTTCCCTTGCGTACCATTCTAGATACAGGTGGTTCCTAGCCCTACCTGCATCTATTTGGTCCAGGTTGTCTACGAGATTGGTGTGGTATAGTTCCCAATCGGTTTTTCTTGGATTCCCCTTCGAATTTCAGTTTGGAGTATGATTCCTCCTAATTTGAACTCGATTATTCTGTGATCTGATAGGGAAGATTCCGTTGAGACCCTCCAATCTTTCACGTAACTAGTTATACTGGCACTCCCGATTGTTAAATCTAATACACACAACACAACGCTTTATTGTACAAAAAGCCAAAACAGCTTCATCGACAAAGCAAAACAAAAAAAATAGAAGAACAAATACTTCCACCCGCGTTTTTGTCACAAACGTGGGGGTGTTCCCTATATTGAGAACTTCAAGATTGTATGCTAAGAGGAATTCTAGTAAACACTCACCACTAGTGTTAGTATTAGTGCTTCCCCATACCTCATTGTGCGTATTGGAGTCACATCCCAATAGCAGAGGTAGTCGCCGCTGGCTGCAGAATCGCGCGAGCTCCTCTACTTCCGGAGGCGGGTTCTGCACATCACCCGGAAAGTATGCAGAAGCAATCACGATATTTTTGCTACAATCCTCGATATTAAGTTGAACCATGATTGGAACAAGATCTCGGGTTGTAAATTCTGAAACACATGTGTAGTTATTGTTGTTTCATATAAGAATACAGGCTCGTAGAAATTCCCGCCTGTTATCATATATTATACTGGAATTTTTACAAATTTTTACACGATACAATTCTTTCTTTTTCAATTCGTTCTTATGAGTCTTTTACGGCTCATCGTTCAAATTTTAAGGATTCGTGCTGGCCACGATTCGATTGAACGAACCGTATTGTAAGCAATAAATCAATTATAACGACTCTTTGAACGAACGAGCCGTAGGAACGAATGATCACATTGTGATACGATTCAATTCTCACGACTCTTTCTTACAACTCGTTCGTTTAAATTTTAGAGATCCGTGCTGGCCAATTCAATTGAACGAACCGTATTCTAGGCATTGAATCGAATCTGACGATTCATTTTTAGTACTCGTTCAAATGAAAGATTCGTTCAATCTTTGCCCACCTCTAGTCCCAATCTCCTGGTTGTAAATTCCTTTTAGACATGACTCAGCCGATTCCTTTAATTTCGGTCGGCCTCTTTTACGTCTCTTTGTAGGTATCCACTGCATCACTTGTTTTGAAATTCTCTCGTCATCCATTCGTTGTAATAGAAGCGTATCACTGCAGTTGTTTCTCTTGTATTGCAGTTGTTTTTCTTGCATAAAATGTGTCTCTAAAATAACCAACTCTTTTGATTTTGTGGAGCAAATTTATTTGAATTTTGCTCAGAGTACGAGTACATGGAAAATACTTGAAAAGAGATGTTCAAAACCTAGATCTAGATAAAGAACATTAAAAAGATTAAACCCTACACATTTTTTATACATATAGATACTTTGCTCTGTTAGCTTTAAAGATCTTATTATTATAAAATATATATATACATATATATGTATATATATGTTATATCCATATTTAACCTTCAAATGACCTTATTTACTCTTTATACTTATTTATTGTTATTCATTGTTTATTCCAAAGTTAAACGTATAAGTTCGTTCTAATATAACTCATAAACAATCATATTATGTTTCTTGAGAATCTTTCCAACTACGATGTTCCCATGGTCTCTTCAGTAAACAAGTCGCAGTTCCATGATGGGAAGCGAAGACTCAGCAACTTTAAGAATATTTAAGCCGATCTCTTTCCCAGGAGAAAAAACTCTCGAACGCAACTCGTATCCGTGTCGTATCGAAGTTCATATAATAATTTTGTATCTTTATTAAAACTTAATAAAGTGTTTTGAAGTATTTTAATGTTTTTTTAAAATAATAAAAGTGAAAGATAAAATCTAACAATTGGCGCAGTCGGTAGGATATTCACAAAACGTCGGTAGAACACGAGTATTCTAACTACCAACGGTGGATTCCAATCCTTCAAGCGAAAGAACTTACGAAAAATCAAGAAAGAAAATTAAGAAAAATCAAGAAAGAAAATTAAGAAAAATCAAGAAAGAAGACAAAAATATATCTGGCGTCCCTCACTCATAGGCAGATCTACGGATTAGGAACACCTAGTGAAACCCCTGGTAGAAAACTCCTTTGAGAACAAGACAAAAGCATGGTTTTTGGAAAATTAGTGTAAGTACACAACGAATCATTACGTTTTATTTTAGTGTTATTTTTTTTTGAAAAAAAAATTATTTTGAAAAAGAATTTATTTAAACGTTTATAAAATAAAAAAAAATAAGATATTTTCTTATACGATTATTTAACAAAGGGTTATTTTAATTTAACCTCGTTATTCTCTTAACTAAGTTAACTAAGTTAATTAAGTTTAAATAAATCGATTATTCTGCTAGTCGATTACTTAAAATAATTTAAAATAAAATAAAATAAAATAAAAAATAAAATATTTTTTTTAGTTATTACCATTTACTAAAAATAAAAATAAAAATGTCTGAATCAGAAATGAATAATGAACCAGAGATAGAACCATATAAACTATCTGAAATATTTTCAATAATACCAGAGTTTGACGGAGATCAAATCTTTTTACAAACATTTCTAAATGCATGTGATTGTGCTTTTGGCATGTCAACCGGTAACCAAAAACTCTTATTAGTTATTCACATTAAAAATAAACTAAGAGGTAGAGCAGCCCAATTAATAAATTCTAGAAATCCATCTTCGTATTTTGAAATAAAACAACTTTTAAATTCTCATTTTGGTGATACTAGAGATTTATCATCATTAATTCAAGACCTACAAAGAGTTAAACAACTACCAAATGAATCGCCTTTAATATTTTTAATGCAAAAATGCATGCAAATATTCAAAAATCCAGTTTAACAAATAATGAAAAACAAGCACAAATTTGTTTAATCGAATCTATGGCATTAAACACATTATTAACAGGATTAGACCCACGTATAGGACATATTATTCGTGCTAGTAATCCAAAAGACATTATCGAAGCTCAAATTCGTATTCGAAGAGAGTTACAACTTTCTTATTTTGAAAATCAGAAACAAAATAAATTGAATACAGTTAGATTTCCACAAAATCAACCTATTAAAAGACCAAATTTGTCACCACCAAAGTGTACATCTTGTGGACGTTTAGGACATCTATCCAGAGACGATTTATGTCGTGCAAGACAAATGAATAATAATAATTATACTCATTTTAACCCACAAAATACCAACAATTTTCAAAGACAACCTCAACATTTTACACAAAGTCAAAATGTTAATCAAAGACCATATTTTCAACAAAATAATTCAAACAATCAACAACGCCCTTCAGTAATTCAACAACGCCCTTCAGTAATTCAAAGAAATCCTAATTTTAATAATAATAATCACAGAGCACATTTTATAAATCAAGATTATTCAACTTATGATTATTCAAATGAATATTCAAACAATTATTCTGATAATTACTCAAATAATTATTCTGAAAATTATTCTGATAATTTTTCAAATGATTACTTTTATGATAATTCTCCAAATTCTCAAGATTATTCAAATTATTACTCTGAGCAAGAATATGATGACTATCAAAACTACGATAATGCTCAACAGCAAAATTTTCATTTGCGTTCCGACCAAAACCATCCTCCGGATACACAGAAAACGGACACAAACGAAATTCAAACGAATTTTCAAACTTTGAATTTAAACCATACGAATCAATCCCAAGAACAGAAATTTACTTAAAACCTTTTTTCACTGTAGACATTAAAAGTTTATACTACATTAATGACATAACAAACACATACAAAATATTAATTGATACAGGTGCAGGAATTTCAATTTTTAAAGAAAACACAGTTAAAAAATATCCACAAAGAATACCAGAAAATATTTCAATTCAAGGAATTACTAACGAGAAATTATTAATAACTCAGTCTACTTTAATTCCTTTTAAAACAAATGATCCTCACAAAGTTTTTATTTACAACTTAGATATAGACTTTGACGGAATCTTAGGATCAGATTTCCTTGAACATTATCAATGCACAGTTGATTTAAAAAATAGAAAATTGATAACAAATTTTAAAACGGTGCCTTTATTTAAAATTGAAGATACACTGAGAGAACAAAATTTAAATTCTGAACAAATTAAAAATGAAATAAATATTAATGGAAGAACAGAACAAATTTTTAAATTAAAATGTAATTTACAAAATACTGATGCAATTTTATCTAAACAAGACAAAGAAAAAGTTTATATTCCAAATGCGTTAGTTCATGTTAATGAACATGGAGAATTTTTGACATCAATAATTAATTGTAATGCTATTCCAAAATCAATTAATTTTTCCGATATTCAAATTGAACCTTACATTTCACAAACAATTTTAAATTATCAAACAAATAATAATTATCAAACAAATAATTATTTTCCAAATTCAAATCAAACTGATAGAATTCAAACAATAAAATCACAACTTAGGACTGATCATTTAAATGATGAAGAAAAAGAACTTATAACTAATTTATGTCTCGAATTTCAAGATATTTTCTATTTAGAAAATGATGTCTTAACTTTTACAAATGAAATTAAACACTCAATTGATACAAACAATGCTAAACCAATATACACTAAATCTTACAGATACCCACAAATACACAAAGAAGAAGTTAGAACACAAATCAGTAACATGTTAAAGCAACGTATTATTCGTCCTTCAATTTCTCCTTGGTCCTCTCCAGTTTGGATTGTTCCAAAAAAATTAGATGCTTCTAAAAAACAGAAATGGCGTATTGTTATTGATTATAGGAAGTTAAATGAACTTACAATCGATGATAAGTACCCCTTACCTAATATTTCCGATATTTTAGATCAGTTAGGTAAATGTGAATATTTCTCAACACTTGACCTTGCTTCAGGATTTCATCAAATTGAAATCAATCCTTCAGATATTTCCAAAACGGCTTTTTCTGTAGAAAATGGTCATTACGAGTTTGTCAGAATGCCATTCGGACTTAAAAATGCCCCTTCGACTTTTCAACGAGTCATGGACAATATTTTATTAGGAATTCAAAATGAAAGATGTTTAGTTTACATGGATGATATAATAATTTATTCTCCAACTATTCATGAACACATTTCCAGACTTAAAGAAGTTTTTCAAAGATTACAAAAGGCAAATCTTAAAATACAACCAGATAAATGTGAATTTCTTAAAAAAGAAGTTGCATACTTAGGACATTTAATAACTCCAGAAGGTGTTAAACCCAATCCAGAAAAAGTTTCATGTATTCAAAATTTTCCACAACCCAAAAATCCGAAAGAAATAAAATCTTTCTTAGGCTTAGCTGGATATTACCGTCGATTTATCTCAAACTTTGCAAAATTATCAAAGCCTTTAACAAGACTTTTGCAAAAAGATGTTCCATTTATTTTTAATCAGGATTGTCTAGATTCTTTTGAAGAATTAAAGAATTCTTTGACTTCAAATCCTATTCTGATATATCCAAATTTTGAAGAACCTTTCCTATTAACAACAGATGCTAGTGCTTTTGCTATAGGAGCCGTTCTTTCACAAGGACACATAGGAAAAGATTTACCTATTGCTTTTGCTTCTAGAACCCTTTGCGGCGCTGAAACAAAATATTCCACTATAGAGCGTGAACTTTTGGCAATCGTATGGGCAGTTAAACATTTTCGTCCATATCTTTTTGGTCGTAAATTTACTTTAATAACAGATCATCGCCCTTTAACATGGTTATTTTCTATTAAAGACCCTGGCAGCAGATTAGCTCGTTGGCGTTTAAAACTCGAAGAATATGATTACAAAATTATTCATAAATCTGGAAAAGCAAATAAAAATGCAGATGCTTTATCTAGAATTAAAATCAATCATTTCAAAAAATGCGCACAATTTATTTCAAAAACAAATTTTCCTATTTTTGCCTCAAACGAAAATACACCTGATAGTGAACATGAAAATGAAAATGAAGAAATTGAAAATGAAGATTCTGATAATGATATTGATATCGATGATAGAATTAAAAATGAATATAATAAATTTGTCACTTTATATGACTCTCAATCATTGATTGATTATTCAAAAATAAATATTACCAATAATCAATTATTAGATAAACAACATAAAAATATAATTACATTCTTTTGGAAAATAAAATACAAGAATTTCATCATAAAATAATTGACGACATATTAGAAGAAAATCCAGACTTTCATTTAAAAAGAATAAATATTTTTAATAGTAAAACTGTTAAAAACAGGAAATACTATATAATCCCTCTCGATTTTGATCCAACTACAGTAGTTTCTCTTTTATTTTATATTTTATATAAAGAACAAAATGAATTTAACTTAGCAGAAACGTACTACGTTGAAAATCAAATAGAACTTCCAATATTAAAAATATTTTCTTATATTTTCGCAGATTTCACGAAAGAAATTAAATTAACAATTTGTCAAGATATTGTTAGAACTCCAGTAGATGATGAAAAACCTCAAATACTAGATTATTATCGTAATCACAAGATAAATTTTCACAGAGTAAGAATCAAAACATATTTAACGAACATTTTGAAAAAGAAATTTTTTTAAAAATTTTGCCGGTTTAATAGAATTACCCTGAGACTCAAACATCTAAAATTAATTTTGTTTTGAAAAAAAAAATGGTTTAATTAAATTGGTTTTAATTTAATCGTGATATGGTTAATCACGAATAATTTCTTTTCAGATTTATTGGATTACTACTATCCATAGTATACTCCCAGTATGTTATTACACCAATCAACAATACAGTCGGAGTGTACCTACATGAAGACGGACAAATAAAAGTATCCAATGATAAATGGACACTATTAGTTTATAAAGATTTAGAATTAATTAAAAATACTATTTTAAATAATGATAAAATATTAGATAATATTTTAAACACTTTAGAAGAAGATGCACCACGAATGATAGCTTTTAAATCAGAAGTTAAAACGCATATAAGTCTTTTATTACAAATATCAAGATCAATTAATACAAAATATAATGAAATAATACGCGATACGAATAAGTATATTTATAGAGAAAAGCGTGGTATATTTAATGGCATTGGGACAGTATGGAAATCAATAACCGGTAATTTAGATGCTTCTGATGGTGAATATTATAATGATTGTATAAATAAAATAACTAAAGATGAATATCAAATAGAAAACTTATTAAAAAATCAAATATCTGTAACGACATCTGTAATTAAAAGTTTAATTCTACAATTCAAAAATTACAAATCGATGAAGAGACTTTTAATAATGATATAAAAGAAATAAGAAAATCAATAATGGACATTTCAGATCAATTAAATTATTTCCAATCACAAATTGATATTTTAAATATTTGTGAATCTCTTATGGAAAGCTATACCTTTTTAGAAAATCAAATTGATGATATTATAAATTCAATAACTTTTGCAAGATTAAAAATATTGCATAGTTCTATAATTACTCCAAATGACTTGGTTGACTCGCTAAAGCATATATCTCAATCATTAAAGAGAAATAATCTTCCATTACCAATTTCTGCCACATCGATACCTCAGTATCTAGATATTATTGAATTGAAAGCTTATCAGTTAGATTCTAAAGTAGTATTTGTTCTAAATATACCTTTAGTTGAACCTGAAGAGTATACTTTATATCGAATTTATCCAATTCCTTTGTTAGATCATCGTACTGCTTTACATCATATCTTAAGTACAACTTATAAATATATTGCGCGTAGCGATGATTCATTGTTGTACATAATAATTGAAGATCCAGAAGCTTGCAAATCAACAGGCAGAAAAACAAGAATTTGTTCCAACATATTTCCATATCCAATCGATAGTGATGCTATATGTGAAGCTCAACTATTGAAGCAACAAGATCACCTGCCAAGAACCTGTCAATCTTCTTTGATCATGGCAAAAGAATATAACATAAACAAATTAAATTTAAACTTTTGGTTAATAATTATCTCAGATCCTTTACCATTAACAATTAAATGTGGAAATAGAGACATTATTACAAAAATCTTAAATAATAATACTCTTTTAAAGTTACAAAGTGAATGTATTGCTTTTGTTGGCAGTACAAGAATTCAAGGTCAAAAAGACATTAATGTTTATGATAATGTAACATACAATACTTTTCCAATTCAAATACCATATAGTTGTTGCAGTAATATTCCTGAGAAGATCAAGATTCCAAATCTGAAACCACTGAAATTGAGCAAACTGAATCTAGAAGATTTGAGTGTTGCAAATCACAAGTTAAATGAATATTCCGAACAATTGAACAATTTGATCAATGAACCTTTTGTGAAGAAACACCATGGTTGGTTTACAATTTTAACCATAATTGTAATTGTCACCTTGGTCCTGATTTACATCTTCTGCAAATGCAAATCCCGTAGAAGATCACGAATTGGAATTGCAATTTCTCATGATGACTACCCACCATCACCTCCAAGAAATCAAGTTGAATCCACTTTCTCCAAATGGAAGAAAATACTGCCTCGTAGAAGACCCAGTATCCATTTAGAAGAACCTATTGAAGAAGAATCTTTTGAACTTAATCCTAACAAGAATTCAGTCTAAAAGTTATCTCCACGCGTTAACTTTTATCTAAAAGGGGGAGTTGTTATATCCATATTTAACCTTCAAATGACCTTATTTACTCTTTATACTTATTTATTGTTATTCATTGTTTATTCCAAAGTTAAACGTATAAGTTCGTTCTAATATAACTCATAAACAATCATATTATGTTTCTTGAGAATCTTTCCAACTACGATGTTCCCATGGTCTCTTCAGTAAACAAGTCGCAGTTCCATGATGGGAAGCGAAGACTCAGCAACTTTAAGAATATTTAAGCCGATCTCTTTCCCAGGAGGAACAACTCTCGAACGCAACTCGTATCCGTGTCGTATCGAAGTTCATATAATAATTTTGTATCTTTATTAAAACTTAATAAAGTGTTTTTAAGTATTTTAATGTTTTTTTAAAATAATAAAAGTGAAAGATAAAATCTAACAATTGGCGCAGTCGGTAGGATATTCACAAAACGTCGGTAGAACACGAGTATTCTAACTACCAACGGTGGATTCCAATCCTTCAAGCGAAAGAACTTACGAAAAATCAAGAAAGAAAATTAAGAAAAATCAAGAAAGAAAATTAAGAAAAATCAAGAAAGAAGACAAAAATATATCTGGCGTCCCTCACTCATAGGCAGATCTACGGATTAGGAACACCTAGTGAAACCCCTGGTAGAAAACTCCTTTGAGAACAAGACAAAAGCATGGTTTTTGGAAAATTAGTGTAAGTACAACATTTTTCAACATTACATGCTGCCGGATTATTGTTGCTTTTGAACTGAATGAACTCGGGGGAATACCGTTATAGCCCTAAATCAAAAGTTCTGACCAACATGAAATGACGAGAATTTGGTTTGCAATGAAATTTATATTTAAAGTGGGTATTTATCAATATTTATCAATAATTTGTTTTCTAGTAAAGTAATTTTTTTAAATAAGTTGTGTTGTTAAAAATTATTTAAAATCATAACATAATATTGTACGATACACATTTATTTATAAACCATAAGAATAATATGTACACTGCATAAATTTATTGCATTTTTAGTTCTATTTTATGTTTTATAGTATATTATAGTATATATATATTCTACAGTATATATAGTATATTATAGTATATTATAGTATATTATAGTATATTATAGTACATGTATATTATAGTATATTATATGTACATCCACGTGTACAGAAAGCGTTGAACATTATATTAACATCCAATTAGAAAACCGAAGTCGGTGAAGACAAATTTATTAAAACAACATTAGAAATGTACAAAATAATATTTCTTAATATTTTTAGAAAGTACTATTTTAAATCTCTCCCAAAGGTATGAAAAACTACTTGAAAGCGTCACGAACCTTAGAAATCAATTCGATCAATTGAAAAATAAAGCTAATCTTGGAACTGACTGAATCATTACAACACGATTTAGTAGTAAAAGATAATACGATAAAAACTAAATTTTCATAAAAAAAATCAAAATGCCCTCAAAACAAACGAAGATTTTTTCGAATTAATGTGTTTTAGAAAAATTTGGATATAAGTTAATTCAACAGATTTTCTGGTTTATAGGAAGTGGAAAGTAACTTTAAAATTTTAGAGAAATCTCTCTCTCTCTCTCTCTCTCTCTCTCTGTGTGTGTACTTTCCAACTATTTCGATACAGAATTCCAATAAGAAGCAAATATGCTTCAGACACTCCGTATTCAGAACAAATATCTTGAAGACAAAATAATATTTGTATTTAATAATTTTTTTTTTACCTATTTTATGTTTTATGTTTGAAAGAATTGCGTTTCTTTTAGAATGTTTTTCTTTGTTTTTTTCATAGTGGTCCAAAAATTAAATCTTAAGCATCATCTTTTAGTGAGTGAGAGTGAGATACAGTGGGTGGTATAATAGAATAGGCGAAGGGTTCACTTAACATCAAATGGCTCGTCTGCTTGTTTCCCACATCAGTTCTTTAAAAAATAAATTTTTCTTCCACCAACCTCAAGTTCTTTGTGCGTTATATTATCACCCTGAATGAAATAAAGTAGGCCTATACATAGCATTGCTCTAGGCTTTGGGGTATCTATAATATCTAAAAAAAACAAGGGCGCAGTTATAGAAGCTCGCACAAGGCACAGAAACGGCTATTTACGGCACTGTTAAATACATAAAAATTAGAGGATATCTTCATTTTCAACCTCCTGTCCCCTGTATATAGAAAACTATAAGTGCAAAGTAAACTAAAATATATATTTTTGAAATTAACTAAAATATGAGTGGGGTTCCATTCAAAAAAGCAAGATAGCGTCGTATCTATCAAAATTGACGTTTTATCAAATTTTGAAGTAGAAAATTGGCATCCCTCGAAATTACATTATAATATCTTTTTAGTATCTGAAAATAGAAAACAAGAAAATTTTAAATTGTGTGAGACACTTAAAATGATTCTTAAAACATCCGCCACTGCAGATAACACTTAGCGCTGACAAAAATGCCTAAAAGATTTTTTTGGCCAGGTAGATATTTTTATTTCGTCAGAGTTAGAATAATATAATCCATCTATGGATTGATATATTTTTCACTATTTTCGTAAAATTACGAGGGAAAATGGAAAAACACAGTTCTCTGTATAAGAATACCCGTAACGGAAATTGTGCGACCGGTAACGAAGTTTTTATTTTTTTTTTTATTTTACGTGGTCCTACCTTTTAGCCCTCGTAATGACTTTGCAATATAAAAGTTTGTCCAATATAAAGATATCTGACGGTGACCTCTGTTTAAATGTGACGTAATTTACTTAAATTCAGTGGCGGCTCGTCAGGTGCAGTAGGTGAAGGGGCACTTCACCGAAAAAATACTCAAATTAAAGAATAAACTTTACTGCTTAGAATATTAATTTAGTTTAATATATTTACATGCATCTAAATATTAAAATGGTAATTTTTTATAAGTTATTTATTTTTTTCCGGGCGGACCTCTGCATAATAGGTACAGCGCATCAATAATTCCGGCCGAAAAAGTAGCATTATAGGCCCGCACGCGCCTACAAGCCAGAAGTGCAAGTGAAAATGTTTCTATTTCTGAGCCAAGCGGCTGCACGGTTTCCATGGTAACGTGACGTCAATCTATCGCCAGATGTAAATCCCCCCGCCCCGAAGCTTATTATGGTTGACCGATGTGAATGAATTTTTAGTTTTGGGCAGTTCTCTTTGTCTTCCTTTTGTTCAGGAAATGCGTGACGGCGGCGCATAATTTATGCATTTATGCTAATATTCGGATAATTCGGCGAGTAATTAACCGTGTAAAGACTGTAAAGTTGTTGTTGTTATTTATTGTTGTTTGTTAATGGCTTTTGTTGATTTAACTTGTTAATTTTTGCCGTTTGTTTTGTTGTTGTGTTTTAAAACTGTTTTGTGTGTGTGTATGTGTTAAAATATGAACCCAATTAATGACTTGGTGTGCAATTTAAAGAGGTGTGCAAGAAAGATGTTTTATCTCAAGGGCGACCAACTGAAACTTTAAACATACCTAAATTGCAAAAAAGAAATAAGAAAAAGTGGTAAATCTTATAATATTAAATTTAAGTCTTCCTGGTTTTCTGATTTTAATTGGCTATGTAGTAGTATTGTTTTACAAAAATTATTTTGTTGGTCGTGTTTACTATTTTCTAATATAAATATGGCATTTGGAATAAAGAAGGGTTAACTGATTTAGTAAATATAGCAAGATCTTTGCATAAACACGGGGATTCTGCAAAACATTTTTAAAATATCATTTAATGCTAAGAAATTAAAAAAAAATCAAAATATAATAGCCGATGCTTTAGAGAAAAACGTTAGACTCTATAAGCTTAATTTTAAGGAAAATGTTCGTTTAAATAGGCTTTAATAAATATAATTAATTAATTAAATGATGATATTACTGATAAGTTTGCCTCAATAAAGAACAGAAAAATTGAGCTGATTTAGGTACAAAAATTAGTAAGGTTAGTAATATAAATAAGTCAAATTTATTTTGGTTAATATTGCTTAGTAAACATTAATGTAATAATAATTAATGTAATAATTGAATAATAATTGAATAGCTCCTCGGTTGTAACCAACAATTTTTTCAATATCGAAATTTCAGTGAAAAACCCAGGAAAAAACGCTATACCTCTTAGGGGAAAATTACAACCTTATTTCACTGAAATCTATTTTGAAAAAAATGTCCGTTACAACGTTTTTCGGGGAAGCCATGCAATAATTACAGTTTTCGCCATAAAGTTGGATCCAATATGGACGTTTTTCTTTTTGGTATTAGAGTTTAAAAAAAAACTTCTGGATGACTTTTTTTAAATGGAACACCCTGTATATTATTGCATTTTTGGCTTCCTTTCAGATCACTTTACATAATCCTAAGGTATGAGTAAATCTATTTCAATAGTTTTAGAGATATTAAAAAATAAACCAAAAATATATATTTTTCAACCCTTCTTAAAAAAAATATTAAAAATGCAAGAACTGTTCTGAAATCAAAACTACATTAGATATTTACTTTACATGGTCTGTTCTTACTTTGCTATAAATATGGTAATCGTAAATCATACAGAATGTTCAATATTTTACGCCAAACTTTCAAAAATATAAAATAATTTTACTTGGTTTTTTTAAATGAAACACCCTGTATATTATTTTTTATTTGAAGGAGAAAAAAATTAACATTTTTTGTATTTAAAGTATTTCAAATTTTTTAATAGTTTTCTGGATACACCCAGTATTATTTCATATGGCGCTTTCAATGGTAAAATACGAGAGAAAAATCATTGATTGGGTGGCTTTGATAAACATTTACTGTAGAAAATATCATATGAAATACCAAACCGGCAATATCTACGAAACCGTTAAAAATTTTAAAATACTCTAAATGCAAAAAATGTTAATTTTTTAATTCTCCATCTATTGAAAAAATAATATACAGGGCATCCCATTAAAAAAAAACAAAGAAAAATTATTGTATATTTTAGAAAGTCTGGCGTCGAATTTTGAATATCCTGTATGATTTACGATTTCCATTTTTATAGCAAAGTATGTACAGACCATCTAAAGTAAATATCTAATACAGTTTTGATTTCAGAACAGTTCTTGTATTATTAATAATTTTTTAAGAAAGGTTGAAAAATATATAATTTTTATTTATTTATTAATATCTCTGAAATTATCGAAATATATTTACTTATGTCTTAGGTTTATGTAAAGTGATCTGAAAGGAGGCCAAAAATGTAATAATATACTGGGTGTTCCATTTAAAAAAAATTATCCCAATCCACTGACACTTTTTTGAGCCACTCTATAGAAGTTATAATATTTTCCTGAAATACATCTTAGCACATACTTTAGGTTTGCACTTAAATAAAATTTCCATGTTTTTTATTCTAGGAGTTACAGATGCCCGACGCACTATTGCTGGACCCTGTATATTATTATAATTTGCACGTTTTTGAAATTTAGGTTAAATTATGCTACTATTAAAAAATTACTCTCGAAAGTTACAAGTTTATAATAAAAGGCAAGAAAATAACCTACGATTTAAATTTGGGGGGAAATGTGGTTTGGAGTTGGAGAGTTGCACG